AGGTAGCTAGTCGGGCAGCAACTATTTACTTGAAGATATGAACGCCAAGATGTTGTGCCATTTGGTATGGTCGCAGTCGCCGTTCGATGTATAGAAGTGGGTTGACCTCGTTGTCGCAACTTGGTCTTGTCGTCAGGCCTTCTACTAAGTCGCCATGACAACAAGATCAAGTTGCGACAACGAGGTGAATCCACTTCAGCAACTATTTTTGCCCAATTTGCAGACTCAGTACAGAGAGGCGATGAAAAACTCCACTAATATCCCCGATTTGAGCTTTGAGCAAAGTCACACTTTCTGCAATTAAGTTCGCAAAGCAATAAAAAAAAGGTCACTACCTCTTGATGATCATGGTACAGCTGCTTCTGCTCTCTTCTGATTAATTGAGACTATCAGTATATCAGTAGTATGAGATTTATTCACTCAATTTCGTTGAAGGTGATGAAGGGCTGGTAGTACAATTTCCCCACAATTTCCATCTCATACATTGCATACTACTGATTTACTGGTTTTTCCTATTCGGTTTCATTTCGATGTCCTCTCTAATTTTACATTTAGCCGAAAACATGCCACAAACAGCAAGACGACACGTTTGAGACCATTCACTCTCGTGTCCCGTTTCTGGTCCGGGCAAAGCAAGTTTCGATTTATGAACCCAACATCCTTTGCAGGCGCTTTGGGGCTCAGCCACGCTTTGTCGAAAGGGACGACAAGTCTCTGCAACATACACAAATTATTTTGCAGCAACCCAATCTGGAGAATGGGTCAACTTTAGCTCTAAAAGTGGGCATGACTGAAGAAAGTGTCGTACTTTCCATGCAGACCGTTTTGATTCCACACTTCCTACTTGTTCATCTCTCCTTTTGAGAGAATAAATAAAAGTAAAGAAAAAACATGAGAAACGGTCTCCTTATTACTCCTTACATATTCGCCATTCGAAAAGCTATTCTTTATTAATTTAATGTTATTTTCAATGAAACCTAAGGAATAATTATTCTCAAAAAATATTATTTTATCACAATGGTCTCTATCGGCTAGTGTTATGCTTCGAAGGATCATACATTTTACAACTGCAAGCTTCGATCAGAGGAAAAAATAAGGATAAAACCAGCATGTGATGGCTTTCTCGATACACTCATGCTTAATTTCTCATCTGCTCTCATCACGAAAACATCCAAAAATGGAAAATTATTGTCCTTCTCCATCTCGATTGTAAACTTAGGAATAAAAAGTTATCTAATCTATCCTTAATATGAGATGAATTCACCCAATTTCGTTTAAGGTGATTAAGGACTGGTGGTATAATTTTCCCACAATGATATCAGTCGAGCTGACGTTTCCATGGAATTTGAAAGAGCCTTGTTTTCCCAAAAGTTGTTCTCATCCCGACTGGAGAGAACTGCAGCTTCGACCTCGCCCAGGTCTTATCAACACCCCCGGCGGGACTCGAACCGAGACAATGCAAAATGGAAGCTTGACACGTCAACCAGTCGGCCACATTCCCACGAATGCTCTTAAATCACAGAGCAGGTGTGAATTTCCAGGAAATCCAGGCCTTTTGCCATATCACATTCTTTGTTGTGATTGTCGATGAAGCAAACGTATATTTGCCATAATAATCGACTACGTTATTTTGTTTTTCATATTTAAAGTGGAGTTTCGAGACTACCAGTAAATCAGTAGTATGAGATGTATGAGATGGAAACGTCAGCTGTACTCATATCGTTGTGGGAAAATTCTACTACCAATCTTTCATATGCATAGACGGGCGCACACATACACACATGCATGTACACACAAATGTTCACAGGTAATGATAGATATGATATGAAAGTAAACAAATCTCTCCACACCGTTCGTTAGAAGGACTCACCATATTGGCACACACACATACAGACACTGTCAAATTAAATTAAAGCCAGCTCAGCAACTCTATAACAAATAGACTCATGGACTCTGTTAAGATCTACTATCCTCTGCTCATGGGAAATTCACATCAATTCCAGTAGAACGTCTGAATTGGGAAATATATGCGAAGAAAAGTTTCATAATTGTTGAGCTTACTTCCATTTCGAGTGGAAGTGTTGCGTGAAGAGTTTCGAAGGTCGTTTTCACCAAAAGACGACGGCCGTTTTCTCTTGACCAGCTTTCGTTTAGCTTTACTGCAAGATTCATGCTGACGCTGTTTCCAAGGCAATTTCCTTGTAACTTTCCGTCATACATCACACTACTCACTACGATTCACGAGTAGTGCGAAGAGGGTTTTTCACGGACGTGCACTACTCGTGAATCGTAGTGAGTAGTGTGATGTATGACGGAAAGTTCCAGGGAGATTGCCTTGGAAACAGCGTCAGCATGAATGTTGCAGTAAAGCCAATCGACAGCTGGTCAAGAGGAATCCACCGTCGTCTTCTGGTGGAGCCGACCTTCGAAACTCTTCACCGCACACTTTCACTCAAAATGAAAGTAAGCTCAACAATTGTGAAACAGGAGATTCCTCAAAACCCAGCTTTTATTCGCATAAATTGAGTATGTTTTAACTTTTCTCTTTGAATCTCCAAATCTGTCCAGACGGTAGACGAAATTTTCGCTCCCTCTTGCCTCTTCCAATCTCATGTTCGTCAGGTTGCTTCAAAACAGGACATCTACAGCCTCGCCGATCTTCCGTTTTCACTTGTTCTCTCTTCCGTGGCCGGTAAGGACGATGTGTTCATTCGTCTCGGAGCTTTCAGTATCCATTTTTCTGCATAGTTGCTGGGGTTCTCAGATTCTTTTGCTCATTCCTCTTGCCGTCTCTCCGATCCACTTTTGTCTACAGTCCGGAAGACTCCATTTTGTCGACTTGCTCCTGTTGTCTGGCAAACTGGATTGCATTCACGATTGCACGATTGTTCGGCCGCAGTTTCCGAACCGATTCGCGCGAGAGTAGACGCTTGTGAATGTACCGAGTCAACGGTCCGATGCTGGACAGGATCAAGAACCTTCCAGTCGGGAAAACGTGATCGAATCAGCCGCAAAAGCAAAAGTAGCGCCCACTGAGTTGATAGTCGGTATGAGTTTATTTTGATATTTGCTGCAATCCAGTGCTTTTGCTTCAGGCAACACGTACAGAACATTCAGCAAAACGACCAATTAGAGATCATTCTATGCCATGTCCGACGTCTGCCGTTGACGCCGACCTTCTACACGCGAATGAGGGGACGTCATGAAGACATTATTTTAAGGCAGTCTGATCTAACGTAGGACTAGAGTTTCTTTCTAAAACTGTGAATGGCTGAATAAAGTATCATGATTGCATAGAAAGCCATTTTAATTCTTTGTCCATTAATAATTATCCCATTTTTTGCTATGACAAAAGTAAGAAAACAAGGATAGACTTCTGATCCCAAATCGGATTGCCTGCTACACTTCGTATGTTGTTTTCAATCAGGTCTTAATACGCCAAACTTCACTGATCTACTCCAGATCGGATCGACTTCAATGATCTACTGACGCTGAAGCTGCTCACCCATTCCATTTGCTCATCCATATTTCCTCAATTTGTCTCTAAATCTCTCTCTCTCTCTTTCTCTCTCTTTCTCTCTCTTTCTAAAACACACGCACAAACGTATATACATAAATACATACATCCAAGATGAACAATTCATCTGCAAAATTGGCTCAAATGTATTAACATAAAGTAGGTCTCAATGTTGTGACCAGCTCTCTAACATGGGTTCTAGTCCCGTCGAATGGTATATGGTGAGTACCAACTGACACTTCAATGTTCCCACAAGGAAGTTCACGTGAGCTCGCCTCCCGAAAGGCATTCTCATCCGGAGCGGATAATGGAAACTACTTTCTATGAATATAAGTAATATGGTCGATTGTGATAGCAGAAATCAGTTTGTCTCGGCGAAAATTCGACAATAAAAGTGTGACATGGAAAAGA